TATAAGTGGCGGGCGTTGGGGTCAGGAATTGCCACTCGAAGTGATTGATTATCAATTCCTCCATTTCCAGCACTTCTTCACTACTGTATTGATTGGTCTCCGAAAACATTTGGCTGTACTTCACTGTGCGGTCGCATTCCTCCACTTTCACTAACATATGAGACACACATTACACACACTCGAGACATAACAGTATAGCGAAGGCATACCTGCTATCGATAGACTACACATGAGGACCAGTTCCAGCTTATCCTCACATATCACGTGATTATCCATAAAGAAGTCCATTATATAAATCGACAGGTATTTCACACGCGTTGACAGTTTAAGACAAAGACATAACACTTGGATCCGTTGCATCAGATCCGGCCGCGCGTCCAATTGCGGTGACCTATGAGTCGGGGAGAGAGAGAGAGAGAGTGTGTGTGAGAGGGTTAGTGCGAGTGATGTGTGAATCATGTGATCACTTGAGGTGAAAGTCGGGTCTCTTTTGTTCGGTGTCTAAGAGGTGTTGAAGACATTCGTCCGCGTATTCGAACTCTTGAGTCAATTGGTTTACAGACATTGCGGTCACTCGTGTTTCACTGTTTCGCTGGTAATGACCGACACTTACGACACACGCCTTGAAAGACAACGCAATGCTTGCAGTGATTGAGTGATTGAGTGATTGAGTGATTGAGTGATTGAGTGATTGCAATGACCAGTGATTGCATTCACTACGCATTCGAACGCACTCTGACTCCCAGTAACTCGTAGTCAGAGTTCGAATGCAATCACAAGTGTATTAAGTTTCGCACACTTTATGTGAGACACCATTCATACGAATCACACTCGAGATGACTAAATGTGAACACAATTTGACGGACTATTCGTGGAATGCATTGATTTTGAGGTTGAGGTGAATGCTGTGGTCAGAGAACACATGCAGTGATGTCTTCATTACTAATGCAATGAATGGGAAGTGAGTTATGAGTTAGCAATCGATGCGTGCATTCATTGCTTTCAATTAGAAATTCACTTTTAATCAAAGCATTAGTCTTACAAATGATTAGTAAAGTTGTAATAAGTATTGAATGCAATGAATGGACGCATCGATTGCTAACCAATTAATAAGTTTTCCATTCATTCAATCCATCACTTGATATACACTTCACTTTCATATCCATATGGATAGCAATATTGCTCTCATTATTAAACTATAGATTCGTTTCAACACTTCTAACGTTTTTTTGCATTTAATATAAGTTTTGATTTTTTACGCAATTTTTGATTTAATTTCAATTATAAACCGAAAGATATT